CGTGTCGGGAAATTTAGCGAGCGCTAATGACAATTTTTGTCCGCGTGGATTTTATTTTATTTGCGTTTTAGCAAAGGAAAAAAAAAAAAAGAATTTCCCGGCGCTTGAACCCCTCGGATCTCCATATATAGGTACAACAGCAGCTGCCCCCCCTCTCGGACGTGACTTTGTGAAAAATGCAATTTAAACCTCGAGTGAAAGAGGGAAGGACAAATTTTTATTATACGTATAAAAGGAACGCGTGTATATATTATATGGTATATACGACGAAAGCGAGGAAGGAGGGAGAAAAGTGATACGACAATCAAGTCCAGTGAGTGTATCATGCATTGTACGCTTGCATATGAAAAAAGCTCGTACGTATAAGTATATGGGATTTAAAAGCCAGGGGGGGGGAAAGAAAGAGTCAAACAGTGCTAAAGCGATTTTATTATTCCAAGCGTCTGGCTGTGTACGGTAGGCTCGTGGGTTTAATTTCATGCAAATTACCTCGACTTTATTCCGCGTGAATTGCCGGCCGGCTAATTCGGGTCTTGAACCTCTCTCGCCATTCTACACATATACGTGTATGTTGTGGGTATATATAAAACGAGCCGACGCCCTCGACGGCTACATTCTTTCTGGCTTGTTCCATTGATTTTGAGGAAAAGATGACAATGCTTACCTGCATGGTGTCCTCGTCAGTCATGTGTTTTTCCATGGGTGTAAGTGTGTATGTGTTTAATATACACCCTTCAACGGTCTCGTGTGTAGCGATCATTCGTGTGTTTTTTTAGGCACATATTCGCCGCTAACTCGGTGTATACCTTTTTTTTTTTTTTTTGTTTTTTTTTGTTTACCTAGCGCATTTTTTCCCGAATGTTTGCGTTTCTTCTTTCCTCGGAGCTACAATGAAACACATGCGAATAATGGTTTGTTTTCCGATTTATTAGGCATCGTGTGTTATTTCACTGTTACCACAGAAACGTGCAATCATAATGTATATAAATATATATATTTCTTTTTTTTTTTTTTTTTTTCAGCGAGCCGTACACGCACGCATTGTCCATTGAGAAGTTACCTATCATTACGAGCGTGGATGTGTAAAAAAAAAAAGAAAAGAAGAAAAAAGCTTTTTGCGAAATTTGGGCATGAATATCAGCATGAGCGTACACCCATTGACGACGGAAAAAACAAAAAAAAAAAAAAAAAAGAAAAAAGAAAAAAGAAAAAAACGGCTTCTGCATACATAAACCGCAATCATTCACGCTACGGGCGCATTGTGTCTTTGTACAACATGGATTTCCCGATGTACGTATATGTAACCGCGAACGAGCAGGCATCAGCTTTTTCGACAATTTATCGCCTCGCATCGACCCGCGCCTCGTCATCGCTTAAACCGTCTCCCGATGAATAATTTATGTGCGTGTCGCGGTAGATCCACCCGCGCGGAGAGAGATGGCCTCGCGCGTGCTGGTTGTTGCAGCTGCAGGGGTTGCTCTCCTCCCCCCCCCCCTGTTTCTTCCAGAATGTATCATTACTATTTTTTGGTCTCTCGTCGAGTCGATCGTGTATGATTTACGACACGTTTATTAATATTTGACAAATGTACACAACGTGTGCGGGAGGAAAAGAAAAAAAAACAACAACCAATGAATAGGAAAAGAGCTGTTTGTTGAATGTATGTATATACTTACATTGGGGGTTGTTTCGTATTTTCAAAATTTCATCTATATTTCTCCTCCCCCAGCCCGGAAGTGCTGGGAATCGAGAATTTATAAGTCGTGCTCCGAAAACGTTGGATTTTTCCAATACGTTTTCGTTTTTTTTTTTTGTTTTTTTTTTTTTTTTTTTTTTCCCCCAACACTCTTGAAAATTGTTTTGACTTGGAACCTCTGAAATGTAACTTTTTCTTATTCTTGCGGCTTCAAAAATATTCGGGGTTCCCCTTTTTAGTGGTGGGAATAATCGCGTAAGCTTTTCTATTTGGAAAATGTTTGTAAAAGGGAAAAGAAACTGGATGAAAATTCAATTTTATTTGCGCTAAAAGAGATTAAAATGTATAACATTTTGGGCAGGGAAGAAGAGTTCCAGGAGGTGTTTCCTTAGAATAACAAAATTCGAAAAAATCAATATCACGGGCGTGACCGCGTATGACTGTGTGTCGTCGATTGATAAGTCACGTGATTTTTATTTGCCGAAGGAAAAAAAGCATGAGGAAGCAATTACAACATTTTCCAACATGTTTTTTCAATAAATAATACAGCACCACTCGGCTGGGAGTGGACATAAGTATACAGCGATTCGAGAGGAAAAAAAAAAACTGATAAAATCAATATGGATAAAGGTCGGGAAAGCATTGTCATTACTGTGTAAACTCAGGGTCGTTAGCGTCGAAGGCCTCTGCTACAAAATATCATTGAATAATTGATAAAAAGAGCCACCAGCAAACGAACCAACAAAAGACCAATACAATTCTACCGTTACTCTATACACGTCGCAAAGGTAAATAAAGAAACGTAAATGTGTAACCAGATAAATAATGTATCGATCGAATATAGTAATGAGCAGCTTTTCCAGATTTTTTAAAAATTATAAAACCTTTTCGTGATACTCTGTGTTCGTTTGTTTTTCAAGCCTAAGCTCAGAGAAACAATAATAATTGTCACAATGAGGTATGGAAGAGGCTATAGCTGAAAAAAGTTTGACGAGTACTGCAGTCGTCACAGTCGATTCTTCGAAAAGTTGAAGATGCAGCTGGTGGCGTATTAATCTTGAGTATGGGCAAGTTGAATAGACTCTCTTTCTAACGAATTATTTTCCGAGTTTTTCGTAATTAGCAGCAATCGACATCTCCGAGCGCGGATTCAAACTCTTGGAAAACTTTCGAGACATTTCTATTAGGATCAGCAGTATAAAGAAGAATTCCAGCATAGAAAGAAGAAAATTTGAAAGAATAATGACGGAATTTCATTCTTAGTCACTTTATTAAAATGTTATGTGTATTGACATTACACTGGTGTTGAAGTAATCACTATTGATTGTTAATATGATCAAACATTAACATTCAATTTGGTGTAAAGTGCAGAAGTACTTACACAGGACCACATAGGAGGATTTGTTTTAAAATGTTATACAAAACATTTACTTAAATATTAACATTGACAATAAATTAAAAGACAATATTTTTTCCACGTACTTTCAGTTATCAAAGGGCTTGCTAGGCTATTTTCTTATGTTGTGATACTTTATGTAAAATAAAATATAAAATTTTATTCCACTAACAGAACGAAATTCTCGATTTCGTCGTAAGTTCTATTCATAGTCTCGATCCACTGCTTCATTTGCCTTTTCTCCGCCTTAGTCATTGCATCCTTCTTATTTTTCTTCTTTTTCTTCTTTTTTTCGCCATCGTCGCTCTCATCGTTGCACTCCTCGTTTAGATCAAAAGAAACCTCTTTACGTTTGTTGTTGTATGATCGCCTTGGAGGCTGAGAAACAATAAATTGACATGTTATTTTATAACCACGCAGAATGAAATTAAGACATGCTTACCTTTGAAAAGTGAACCGGCTCTGAATCGACAAACAAATGACTCGTTGATTCAAAATCTCCACTCTCATCCAATGTTTCGAAAAACGAAGACGCCGCATCGTTGTTACCTTTTCCTATCGTACTTGTCTCATTAGCAACAACATTGCAATGATCCAAGTTATCATAGATCTCCTCATCATTATTCGATACAGCTTCTTTTGCCATTTTCGTTAAAACTTCTGATGACGGTGTGGACTTTGCAGTACAGGAATCGATTAACACTGGCCCCTCCACATCCGTTCCATCATTTTCTTTTTCTTCTGGAGTGTTTTTGGGGTCTGCTGCAGGTATCGATTGGATAACCGGAGGCTTGCCAAAAATATCACAGTTGTTAAAACCAAACGCGTTTTCCACGTTTAAGTCAAACAACGAAATTTCCATATTAAAAATACACAGCTGTCACTGTTTACTAATATTGCACTGTGCTACGTCAACCCTGAAAAACGACGCAACGGTATACACTCGTTTATCAGTGATTTTATTCGAAATTAAAAACTTTGTATGGCTAATATGTTAAATTTAGTCAGTACGATTCGATGTACTGTTGAAGTAAACACGAGTAAACAATCAAAAATCAATTTAATCTCTGATAAAAATGATGTGAGTAAGTATAGTTGTAAGCGCCTGAAAGGCCGGAAAAGACAAGACCCCCGCATACGTAGAAATCTGCAGTATCTGCACAGCAGACGGCGCATACGGCGCCACCTGAAGTCGGTACTATCGCTACGCTACGAGACCTACGGCACCACGTGACACACCACTTGAGAATTTTCAATAAAATGTGCTATGCTAATTGTCCGCATGCTAAATATAATCGATTTTATTAATCAAATTTTAATTTAAATCGAAACAATGTTTTAAAGATTGAGAAAAAAAAAAAAATTCGCAAGTCAATATGGCGCTTAAATACGTGTATACATACACACACACACACGAAAATGTAAACAAGCTTAACCTGCGCCACCGGTACCCCGTTGATGAGTGCCTGCGTCCGCGAAAAAACTAATATTAATATCTCATCAACGAGATCAATTCCATCAATAAACACGAACATGAAACCACGAAGACGATAAACAAAACACCGTAACACTCGTGTGGTGGACTTTCCATGATCGTTGCATCAAAGCTATAAACGACTCGGTACTTCCCGGCCGGTCATGATGGCCGGCCATCAGCAACAAACGTACACGTTGTGATGTCTGCAAGCCAGTTTTTGTGCTCTGTAGCTGCACCAACGTGCGCGAAAACCTGATCTGAAAATCGTTACTTTCCGATAAAAAAAAAAAAAGGAAAGAAAAACAAGAAAAAACGAAATTCATGTTGCTTCTTGTCAACGTGCGGAGCTTGTGTCTGGTGCAACGATGACAGCATCCGCGTGTCCATCAGCTGGAGGATTCAGTCTCTTGCTCCTTTTAATCCTTCAGCAGCTTAACAGGTCGACGTCCATCTTTCCTGAGGTGTCTCGCGTTTCGTGTATTTAAGTAAGTGTAATTACGTTACGTTACCTACTTGAATCCTTCCTGTGTTTACGTGAAATTTGGGTCCTCCCAGCAATCGAGTTGTAGTGGATAGTGCACGTGTGTCGTATTGTTGCCATTTGTACGTGTCGTCGTGGTGTTGTATGTAATTGTTCTCTGTGAGGTGTATACCCTCTGGCGTATAGATAATTTTTGCAATGATGGAAAACCATCTGTGGACCAGCAGTAGCGACTCGGATCAATTGGACCAGTCACAAGAGAACGGAGACGCCTTGTCTACCAAGGATACCAAGCGAAAGAAAGACCCTGTCGAGGAGATCAAACGCAAGTCACTTGCTGCAAAGCGTAATCTGGTGAGTGCGCCCTTTTTGTTTACCTTCACTTTGCCTGGACTTGATTCACCTCTACACCATCATGGTCTCGATCCTCTAGCTTTCTTTTCTACTCTCGCATCCATGCTTTACTGGATCTTTAGATTCAGTTTCAACGAGTGTGGGCATATATTTAATCTACTGCGCTATACCTCATTTGAAACTTTTATTTTTTCGTCCTAAGTACTTAAGGTTATAATTGCTGTTTTGCTAATTTTATCTAGTCCCCATTAAATTCGCTGTTAACGTTACAGCGGACCAAGTCTTATGATCTAAAGAAACCAAAGACTACTACCTTTATGAGAAATCTTAATAAGTTTGCAGCACATAGAAAAGCAGTTGTAAGAATAACTTGAATATATATATATATATATATATACATATAGACTTGACATGTATTTGTGAAATATTTCACCATTTACGAAAACTTTGCAGGTAGATGCAACTCAGTGTCCTAAATTGCTACTAAGTGAACCAGAAATTAAGCACAAGCGAGCAATGCCACAACCTGTGAGTGTTGACCAGCCACTTACAATTACTTACCTGATAATTAATTTAATTTCCTATTTAATAATTTTTTGTACAGTTGCAAAAAAGGGGATTTTTTCTATCGGGTGTCAAGGGAAAGGAGGTATCACGTTGTAAGTTTATCAAATAAAATAAGTTACTTGTTCTAAATGTTTACAGCAGCAAAAAATTATTTTACCATTTTTAAGCATTTGAAGATCAAAATAAAGTGAAGAATGCCATATTAAACAATGATATTTTGCAACTTCTGCAAAGTGGAAGTCGTTGGTAAATTCATTTGATTGTTAATTGAAGTATTTTTATTCATGACTGTATGAATATTATTACTATTATAGGCCGGCACCCCCTGCAGAACCATCAAATGAAGATACTGATTTAGAAATACAATTAGAGGTAGCAAAAGTATTGAAAAAATCTTCAGATAATAGTCCGAGTATTGATTGTTTATTGTCTTCCGGAAGAGAGGACAAATTTAGTCCCATATTAAGCAAAGCTAAAACGTAATGCTTGTGAGATAAATCTAATAGTAAAAAAAAAAAATGTAATACAATGTAAACTCTTTATTTGACCAAGTTGCTTTGTTACAGTATTAAAAATCAGAATTTAAAGAAACCAGCTACAAACAGAGTACAAGCATTGAAGCCTCCTCGAATAGATCAGCCCCCTGTAAGAGAGCAGTTAAACAACGACGAAAAATATAAAAGAAGATTATTTGAAGCTGGCAAGCATTTTGCAAATTCTGAACACTCTCATCATTTAAGGCATAATGATGCACCGTTTCCGTAATATAAATATACATTTTTTTAAATTAATTTAACTGCTGAATCATGTTAATACATTTTCTAATTTGCTTTCTTTTTAGACATTCCATGAAACAATCAACCCCAAAAAGTGTTATATATTTCACTGATCTCTCACGTCAAAAACAAGAAGCAGATAGGTCTTACAAAAAATATAACGGTATTAATCCTATGAACCAGCAAACGATTAGGTGTTATATGCAAACATGCAAAACGATAGCGGATGAAAAATTTGGTAAATTCAGCAATATTTTCAGAAATGTCAGAGGTAAGAAAATATCCCGTTGTGCAGTATGTCCAAGATTATCTTCTATAAGCTATTATTTAAGTAAATGATGACAATTTATGCGCACAGATCCGTTAGAAAGTGCTAAAGCAGCCTTGAAATCCACCTATGCCAATTCCCTTAAAGAATTTTTGGAAAAGCAAAATGCAGCAGGGACATCTACTCCGAATGATTCAGAAATAATGATAGAACCTGATTCAGCAATCCCTAGAGCTATCAGGAATAACATTCGGTCCACAACAAAAAGTGTCGCCTGGAATCCGGACAATTATTCATCCAATGATTTTTCATCCAATGATTTTGATGATCTCGATTTATTAGCGGCTGTGGATGCTGTTGACAACAGTTTTTCCAACAAAAAACTCTTCTCCTCAGCAGAAAAAAGTTTACAAAGTGAAAGGACAATGCCTTTATCGACAAGAGCAAACGTAGATCCGACAAGTGTAAATATTAAATTAAAAATAGACTCTGTTGACAAAAATCGTCAAGAACTGGTTGCCCGCTATTTGAATGATGTAAGTCAAAATAACGCTCGTACAAAACAAGAGAGTGTTCCTTTGGAAGGTAATAAAGTCAAAATAAACACTCATTATCTGAACAATGACAAATTATTCATAACAAATGACGGGGTTGCTAAAACTTATTTGAATCGTAAGAGCACAAAACATGTTCCAACCATTTTGAGAAAAAATCGATCTCAAGGGGATTACGTAGAGAAAGAAAAGGTTGGAAATGGTCCAAATCTTGGTAAAACCAATGCTCAAACGTCAGGATTAGACTTTAGGATTGGTAGCAAAAGTGTGAGTCAACATACTTGTAACTATAAGAGTGAATTTGAGAAGAGTCAAATGTTAAAGGCTGTAAAATCAAGCTTTGTTCCTACAAATGTCAAGTACAGCCAACCGATGAGAATAGATTTACCACTAGCAGCTGGGCAGAGTAAAAAGATTTTAAGAAACGCCGTTGCCCTTGAATCACCCAAAAGACTCTTGTTTGAATCGAAAAATCATGTTGGCAACCACTTTGTATTGCCTCAAAATAATTTTTGTGTATCCGCTATTGATCAGAGAAATAACTGTATGGACAACAGACAAGATTTTCATCAATATCGTTTATCAAAAGAGTATTCCGAACTCAGTAATCTTAGCTTTCCAATGTGCCAATCTTCACAGGGTGATTCTATGCCAGAAAATAACTGCATGTTGAGAATGATTAGTTTTGGCGATATTCAAGAAAGAACCAATCGTTTGACCCTCCTTTCGAGCCAAAGTCAAAGTTGTTCTCAAAGAAACGGGGAGAATATTTATTTCTCTCAAAATGAGCGCCACAATTTGTATTCAAACCCTCAAGAGCAGCAGTACGACTCTGCCAATAACACTTTCAACAGTCAGTTATGCTCATCTTTCACAAAAGTAGCGACCCCACAATTTTTCAATATCCCAATGCATTCTACTAACTGTAGTTGTTGCTCTCATAACTATGTAAACTCTAATGAGACACAGTATCTCTCCTCTCAGAATGGATTCAATATTATAACTTCCAACAATAATCATCCTATGGAAGAAGCAAACAGTATTGTTTATCCAGTTAATGATTACCAAGTATATGACAGTCAGAGCACATGTGCACCTGTACAGCATAAAAATCCACAGCAGGCAGTGAAGTTCATTGCTGTCGGAGATAACAATGTACCTCAGAGACGACCAGTTTATCGAATGCATGAAAACGATTGTGCGCGCAAAGTGTCTAATCCGAGTCAGCAGTATGCAATCATGACAAAGCCTGTGTACTCTGAAAATGTATCCAATCAGGCACGTTATGCCGCGTCGATTCCTTCACTCCGGTATTACGAGCAAGGAACAATCATCAATCCTGACTTTGAGTACAGTAATAATAATAATCATGTTATCAACAAACAAATTTCTTCAAACGTAGAGAGACTATTAGACTTGGACAATCAGGATTCGATATCAAACGGAAATCATTTTGTCGTGAACGGCATGCCAAGTCATCAAATTTTAATCAATAATCAGAGTATGCCAATGCACCCTGTTGCCAGAAGTCAAAATTATATTGAACAAGAAATGCTTGTTCAGAAGCAATTGTCGCAAAATTCTCAGCGTGTTGGCTGTCAGCCTCTAGGTTATTACGTTAATAATGAGGTATGATAAAAACTATTTTTGTATACATCACCTTTTATAATGATGTATTTAATAAATTGTATCTTGATGATTGAATCATTTTCCAGCCTCACAGTGTAAATAACGCATATTTACAACAAATGAATCATCGTGTTCTACATCAGAATAGATCTTGAGACTACATACGTACATCCGTGTATGTAAATGGTCCAAGCAATTCTTAATCATTGTATTGTACAAAGTAGGTAGTTAAATACCATTATTGGTATGGTTTGTTATCGTATCGCTTCAAAGTAACTAATTTTTTGTTATTATTTAATATTATTTTGTTGTAGTAGTGGGTACAAATTTTGCATTTATAACATGATGTAATGCTGTATCTGTTATTACGAGTAAATGAAAAATATTTTTTTTTTTTTTTTTAATTTAGAAAATAGTGTATTTAATAACGTCAATGAACTTGATGCTTATCGAAAATTCATCGACCGCGACAAAATTATTGTTTTCCATTGACTCGTACGATCGACAAGACATTGTTCAATATTGTTTCATTTGAAGTGTCTTAATTTGTAAACGCATAACCGATAAAACGGGTATTTGTCGGAGGATATCGTGGAGTCCACATTAAGCGAGCACCAGAAGAGCTAAAATAACTGTCCGTCCTCCGCTATCGGAGCAGTTCTCGAGGTCGCATGAAACGCGCAGGAAACTCTCACATGATGATGTTGACGATGAGCAACCTATAGCTGTTTATTCTTAATGGCTCTGTGTTATATGTTTATCATTTGTAGACGATTCAGTTAACGAAAATTTGTAATATCACGTAAACGAATCCAATCAAATTATTTGATAACAAGGAATATCCGCCATATAAAAATTCAATGTGTATAATAAACGAAAAAAAAAAAAAAAAAAAAATAGAAAAGAAAGTAATCAACTCGTCTATTCTCAGTATGATCCCACACTCTCGCATTCGAAAACCCTCGAGATCGTAGTAGAATCGCGTATATATCCGTAAAAATAACGAAGCCCCAAAGGTTTTGTTTGTAAAGTCATCGCTCGTCAACGTCGTGCGCTACTCATTATCTCCTGTCCACGAGAACCCAAGGGGTAGGTGTATACTTTAGTGCGTATGAAAGGAACAGCGATAACGACTGTAGCATCAGGGAATCGGCGGTGGGCCAACGCGTGTAAACACTGACAGCGTCAAAACGGCCCACCAGAGTTGACCAAAGAGAAAAAGAGAGAGAGAGATAAGAAACAAAGCGGAAGCAGATAAATAGAAATCGCAGGCGAGGGCAGCCGTGGCGCAGTCATAATGGCAGCCCATCAGCGGAAGCTGCGTCTCCGGCTCTCCCCGAAATGGACGCTTTGCGCGCCAGTCGACTGGACGCGACGATTAGTTTCGGAGCGAGCGCGATGCTTCCTGGCTCGCGCCTTAAATTTAATTACAACCAAGTTATTATGCAACGATAATACCAATGTTACGTTTTACATACGCGTGCCGATTTTTCTATCCACTCGCGATCGTAATATAGTTTTACCAGCATAAAAACCGTGCGCGCATTATGGTCCATTACTTCTCGGTCAGGAACACCAGCCGCCTCGAACAATGAACTTGACCATGAGGCGCTGCGTCAGCGTCCAGCTGGTGCTGATCTTCGTTTGCCTCGTCCAGTGCGCGTCTAGTGTGAGAAACACCTGTACGTTATCATTTTTTTTTTTTTTTTTTTTTGTTTTTTTTTTTTTTTTTTTTTGCCGATCTTGACGATCGGCTTGTGTTTAAGCTTCTCGTGCGAATTTAACGAACCATCTATCTTTGTATGTATCTAACACGTTTGCTCAGCCGACTGCCCGACGCCAGGAGGACTGAAGAACGGAAGGATCAGAGCTCGAGGTCGGGGCAGGATCATCAGGTACAGCTGCTTCTCTGGCTACGAACTCGTCGGCAACAAGTACTCGACCTGCATCCGCGGCTCCTGGGACACGCCCACGCCCATCTGCGTCAGTGAGTATACGCCGGCACGTTGCGTGTCAGTGAAACAGTAGTATTATATGTTCGTGTAATGGGGATGTTTGCTTGTAGGTACGCGGTGTTCAGCAGCTCCGGTACCGCAGCACGCGGTCGTCGGCGAGAAGTATCACGGTGCCATCCTCATGTACTTTTGCGAGCCGGGCTACGTGCTCGTGGGCAACGCCGAAATTTACTGCGACGGGCGACAGTGGAACGGCACGACGCCCTACTGTCGTGGTCAGTATATATTTACCATCTCAAAGGGCCATTTTTTTTCTTTACCATACGTATGTAGTCAATCGTTTATTTTTATGAGGGTAGATTCTAACGCAATCGCGCCGACTTCCTGTGATTTCGAGAAAGAAGGGCTCTGCTGGTGGGAACAGGACCCGAAGCACGACTTTGACTGGATAAAGCATCGCTTCGACACTCCGAGCGCTCACATAGGCACGGGCCCGACGCACGATCACACTCTGGGTGCCGGAAACGACGGTATTTCTCTAACTTAGGCGCATTTTTGCATCACTTCGCGACTTTAATAATGTATCGATGTTGAAACAACTGTCAATACACGAATCTAGGATATTACCTGTACATCGAGGCGACGGGTAGATTAGCCAACGACACGGCCAGGATCCTATCTCCCCTCTACAACGCCAATCTTACCGACTCGGGGTGTTTTTCCTTTTGGTGATTATTAAACATAAACGAGATTTGTAAGGTGAAGGAAAATTATTTTTTGTTTCAATTGATCTATTCATCGAGTGCAGGTATCACATGTACGGCGCGACCATTGGGACTTTAAACGTATATTTTAAGCCGGAAACGGAAAAGACGCCGAAACTCGTGTGGTCGAAAAACGGAAACCAAGGCAATCAGTGGCACCGTGGCTTGTTTGATTTGCCGACTGTTAACAACAGTTTTCAAGTGAGATATTCCGCGGGTTTTAAAAAAAAAAAAAATTTAATTCCTATAGTATTTTCTGAGTTATAACATTTTTATTTGATTTCAATAACCAGCTGATAATCGAAGGAGTGCGGGGCACGAGCTACGTTAGCGACATTGCAATAGACGACCTAGCCATTTTGCAGGGGGACGAGTGTGTCGTGAAAACTGCCATCCTCAACAATACGACCCCCGCACCGGATGGCGGTAATAATTAACTCATGCATTCATTAAATTTGTCGTTCGTTAAAAATGCATTTAGATTCTCATCGAGTTGTATCTGATTTATAGACGAAGTCGAAGTGTTTAATGCAATGCAGAGCTGTCGGGATCGATGCGTCAATACTTTGACAGAGACGACTCCTAGCTCGGAGCTCTACACGAGCCCAGACGCGTGTCAGTGCACTCTGGATTGTGCCGACACTTCGTCGTGTTGCCCAGATTACTCAGAGTACTGCATCTATGGTAATATATATATATATTTTTTTTTTTTCGTTTTTATCTTTCAATCGATACTATCAACAGCAACGAAATATCTCGTTATGATTTAAGAAATAACGGATCAACCCGAAATTATGTTGCCTACAAGCGTCGTTTCACTGACGAAAAGTACAACTGTTTCCTCGTCTGTAACTCCTTCGACGGAAAAACAAAGTAAAAATGCCTCGACTATTGCAGCGACGACGATAACGACGAGTCCTTATAGCGTAACGACAAAATCTGAAAGAACGACCGTGTCCACTGTTGCGTCGACAACAACTGCCACGACGCGTGTAATAACAGAGGTAACAACGAAAATCGAAACGACCGCCGAAACAAAGGTAACCAGCAAAAAACAAACGTGGGCACCCACAGTTTTACCCTCGACGACAACAATGAATGTGGAAACTCCGTTCGTGCCACTCATGCCAGAAACTACTGCGTATTCAATCGATGACGCTCCAATGCGCACAGGTAAATGTTTTCGTACACACTCGCGTACGGCGCATACATACGCGTTTCACTTTTAATTGAATTCTTTGGAAAATAAAATTCTGAAAATGTTGTTCTGGTAAAGTGAATAATTTTACGATAAACATTTTAGAAGCTCATCTGTTGATAGAAGACGCCAGACAGCTCAAAAAATCCACAGCCCTGAATCTCTCTGGAACTATTGGGATAGTCATCGGTATTTTGACGGGCTTTGCAATGATTGCGTTTGTGGCTTTCGTTATTTATCGTAGGCGAAAGTTTTACACGAGAAGTTCCGATGGGTCGGCATATTCCGAGGACTGCACCGTTGGTTTTCTTACTTCCGTCGAAACGCTAGATTTCAGCTTGGCAAGGCCATCCGACGACGATGAAAAATGCTAAATTTTTAATTTTCTTTGCGGCTGCTAAATACAACGTCATCGTGAGCCAGTAAAAAACTATTGGGCTTATTTTCAAAAGTAAAACGTTAATTTTTAATTTTTCTACAATCAACAAGTACAAAATATATCTTTGAAAGTCATTGGTTTTATTTATTAAATAAAGAATCAAATCACCATGTAACTGAATTAGTCTTAATAATTTATGAATATTTGAGAGTACAATGTTCTACATTGGTAAATGACCAATACAACAAAACACCGACATTTTTCTACATAATTTCATCATTTTGAAAACGATAAGAAACTACTCGGTTCTTTTCCAATCTAAAATAATTATAGTCTCTTATCTCGCGACTTGTGGCAGAGTTGCCTCGAATTAGTCGAGTTTCCAGCTCTAATTCAGTGATTGCAAAACCATTCCGCACACACATCCACACAGAGACGCTCAATAATATAGACCTTGCATAAAAAACAAAAGTAACAAATGTACAAAAGAATATAAGGAGAAAAAAAAATGCACCGCAGTCTCGTCGCGCTAAATGCAAAAGGGAAAATTCAGTCACCGATCACGTGGTGGTGGGATAATCAGGCCTCAGAATGTTGCCCCAGAACCATATGGTCTTGGTCGGATCGTGGCGTATGAAGAACAAGAAAGGCCTGTCCGCGATAAACCTCTTGCTGTCGATGGACCGGTTGAGAATAACCGAGGTCGCAGCAGCTGCCTCCGTACCCGTCTCGTCGATCGTCATCTCGACCTTGTGGAAAACCTCATCGGCGTACAGGTGCGGGTTGCGCAGACCGGCGCTGTTCCTCAGCTCGTCAACGCCAAAGTTGGGGAGGTTCGCCGAGTCGAGGAACTGGACGAACTCCTCGTCGATCGGCCGCTGCTGCTGGCGCTTGGCTCGTGGCCGCTGCTGTTGATTGTCACCTTTGACGCCCTGCGACAGGACACTCAAGTCCGCGGTGGCCGGGTCGAAGAGCGAGTTGAGGCCGAGCGAGCGGAGAGCGCTCTGCAACTCTAGGCTGTTGGACAGCTTCATCTTCGGGAAGCCCACGATGCACTGCTTTGACGTCGTGTTTTCAATCAGGCTGTTCAGCACTTCGGGTGACAACCGGCTCTTCAACTGTTTCAGCGACGTCGTGCTGTTTATCGGGAGTATCGCGTACATCATCACCTACGCTCGTTGGTAAGTCGATATTGTTATTATTTTTTTTAATTGTAACGATGCATCATTCTTCCCGTTATATGAGTAAAATTAAAAACCAATTTTTGCTCGCCCCACGCTGTTGGTGATTAAAAGAAAAAACACTTTTTTTTCAACATATAACGACAAACAACAGCAGTTGTAGCATTCAGATCGTTTTTAATTCGCATAAAGTCATTAGCGCTACTCCCGAGCGTCACGTACAACGCGTTTCAACGATAGCTGATAATTATGACGAGACAACTGCGTAAATTTTTCGATTCGCGTTTTATCTTTGCTACACACCACGCGTTATCTCTTACGTGATTATTAATAAAAAAAATCGAGCGGAAAACCCTTGATGTGCTAACAATCAGTATACATAGGCAATTGAGAATAAACAACACTTACCTCCAAGCCTTTGTAGGGAAGTCCGACGATTTTTAGATCGAGATTCCTGTTCTCGTAGTACGGAAACTCCCCGACGTTGAACATCATGTCGATCTGTATGACTTCGTTCTTCGAGACGGCGAAAGGTTTCCTAAGCACAAGAGAGAATCGTCGAGTGACGTGAAAACGAATAAAAAGTACATGAGAACCAGTGTCGGAGTAAGGACAGTATCGGACCTTTTGGTGCCCGGATTCATAAAGTGCTGGTTCCACTCGCCCTTGAAGTACAGGGCCGACAGAATGATGACCGCAGTCGACGGACTTGGCTGGTCGTTCAAGATTTCCCTGATATTGCCCAACGTCTTGTTACTCACCCACTGGTTGATCATCACCTGGGCCTCTCTGCCCCGACGCGCAAAGTCAACGTTCATGATCTCGCTCTTGTAGATCTTCTGGCTCACCGCTTTGAACTGCTCGCGAACCGGGTAGCCGTTCTACAACCAAACCCACGCGTACACCATCGAGAACCATGCACCAACGGGTATATAATCGTGTACACTCCCTTACATTGACGAATACGCCAAAGGCAAACTTGCACTCTGGCGCGGCGGTGTTGAGCAAATGACCCCTGTCGGACTCCTGAAGTAGCAGCCCGAACATCTGGTGGACGATCTCCGAGTGATGAGTTATGTCGACGCCGGATTCAAGCCCCAGGATCTTGACGACCTCCTGGAAAGTTTGGCCGCTCGACGCCAATAGTATCATGGCCAGCGTCACCGTCAAGCTGATCGGCGAGAAGACGAGGTTCCCGCCGAGCTCACCGCCCGGACTCGTGCGCTCGATCGCGCCGTCCATGTCGAGCGTGAACTTGGCCACACCTCGCGATATCAGATTCAGCACCTGCACGCGACAACCAGATATAAAATCACCCAATACCCCTCGGGACACGCAAGGGTATAATATATTCTACTCACGTGGTCCCTCCACTTGAGCGGGAGGAAGGTGTCGAAGAGCGTGCCGGTTGGCCTAGCGGCTGCCGGTATCTGTCTCTGCGCGCTCTCGTTGTACGCGAGCTTCATGCCCTGGAGTTTGCCGGGCTTACGCGCTCCCACGCGCTTGAGCTTCTCGTACTCGTCCGGCCAGACGATGTCGGCCCCGCACTCGCTGAGCCCCACCGCGACTACCAGCGCGAGCAGCAACCCCGTCCACCTCATGGCCTACACTGTTGTGATTGACAATTCCCTGCACCGTCAACCCTGGAACATAGTTAACGGCATATAAAACATACATATATGTCTGTCCAAAATATCAAGCTCCGACGAGTCGCGCTTCGATGCTTCTTTTTCACTCGTTATTGTCCCAAAATGGTCACTTCTGCGCCCTGCATGTATACGCTTGTGTACACAATGACACACGTGTTATTTATAATTCAAGCAAATGTCGCGCTTGATGTTAATGAAAAAAAATAAAAAATGGTGTGCGAATAGCAGCGATGATAGTAAGCACGTGAAATTCATTGTGTATAATATAAAGCGCGCGCGTGGCTAAAAAAAAATAAAAGAGCAGCTGTCCGGCGCGTCCCACACGCCCATTTTCGTTCAGCCGCTTCAGATCGGACAATTAAATTTACATGCCGACCGATTCTTTGAAATTTAATGCCCGACCCGCACGCGTGTTTGGACTCGCGGGTACAGGGAAATAAAAGCAGAAAAACAGAGAGAGGGAAACCCCGAACAATCGGAATTTAATTTTTATTCAAGGTTCCCCTCTTCTTTTTTTTCTTTTTTTTTTTTTTTTTTCACTCCGCAGCGCGTGTGAGTGCCAGTCATCGCTGTTTTTGTTCGTCGGGAGCGAAATTTACACGCGAGTAAGTAAGTAGATTTAAAACAAAACTAAGCTCCAACGGCCAATCGTCATTATTCGTTGTAAATTATTCGGGTATACTTGATTCGTTTTTCTCTCTGATTTATTGTGTACACGGAAGCAACGGCATAACTCGATCGATCCAACTGCGGGTCGACGAGTCGAATGACTGCACGAAAAAAAAAAACAACAAAAAAAACAAAGCGCGATAAGGGAGACTTTGTCGCGCGTACACGTAACGAGATTATAATACACTCGGAGGCCGGAGGGTTGACGGCAGGGAAGCTCGTTTGCATGGCGTAACGAGCGTTGTTATTTCGACTCTGCTAACATATTTGCACTGTTTGCCGTATACGTGTATACCTCATAAACGAAGAGTTCGCGCGAAGCTCGTTACAATTATAATATCAAACAATTATATCAAACGACAATGTACCCGCATGTCCTTTGTACAGGCACATAGTTCTCTGTCGTTGCACAAAAATTAACGCTTTACCCGTCGGCAGATTACCTACTCGTTTTCATACCGACCCGCACCATCCATGGGGGAAGGACGCGGGGGTAGCTCACCGGTTGTCTCTCTCTCTCTCTCTCTCTCTCTCTCTCTCTCTCTCTCTCTCTCTCTCTCTCGTTTATGTAATCAACGCTACATATAGATGCAATGCTTATTCACGCTAGTGTCTGAATTATTGGAATTTTTTAACCGATCATGTGTCTGCCTACACCTTACTGACCAAAAAACGGATGAGACGTGGAAAAAATACGACGAGTGTAAGGAAAAAAAAGGAACTCAAGGTTACGGTCGAGGCGAACGAGCGAGCTATACGATGCTTATGTTTTTTTATCGTTACCCGACGTCCGTTGTCTATAAGTATGTGTAACCGCGAGTGTTATTTACCACTTACCGAACTGCCAACCGATGACGATGATGATGATACGTTTTATGACGAGAAAAATCACGTTAACAATTTAAAATAAAGTGTCCAGCTAACGGTGCGTGTACGTCAGACGCAAAAGAAAAGGAAGAGCCGTATCTTCCACACACGCGCGCGCGAGATCGGCTATACTTACTACCGATCTGTCAGGCTAACTCTGGCGCGACACTGTGTCCTCCGTTGCTTGGCTGCATCGTATTTACCGCGCTCGGTTGAGCTTTCCTCTCTCTCTCTCTCTCCCTCTTCCGCGAATTTTCATGTGTGCGCGTGTGGGTGTGACGGTGCCAGCAGCGCTGCACGCGGCCTTCGTCGGCGTACCGATCTGATCGTTCAAAATCAGAGATCGGTGCAGCGTTTCGTTACGTTTCCATTTCAAAGGAACATTTTATGGAATCCCGTTCATCGATAAAATCGTCTTTCATGATTATCACTTTGCACGTGCCGTCGAGTAAGAACCAATCATTTTCTTATACTCTTCTATAAAGATATTTTTACGAAAATTGCTTTTTTTTGTTAGAAAAAAAAAAAAAAAAGGAAAAATAAAGTTTGTCACTGTAAGTGCTCGTGAATCACACGAGGTGTGTATTGTATATACAAGAATGTCAAATTGATAAAACTATATATCCTGTTTTTATTCTCCGTCTGTTCGAGCCCATGTCCGTATCGCAATTTATCGTGCGTTCCTCTTACTTTTTCACCGCTGCAGTGATTAAGTGATGAAAAACAACTCAATTAGTTAATCAACTGTTTAATTGTGAACGATTACTGCAAATGTTTTTCAATGCAGTAACTTTATCATCGCGAAATGACAAAAACATTATTGTATATTGTTTCAATCTTTCGTGAATTTCTTTTGAATCCCAATCTCGTAATCTTAGCTTTAGCCAAATACACACATCGGGTAAATTCTGCATTATTCGACATGATTATCCTTGGTTTGTATCGCAGAAGTTGCGATTTTTATCATCCTCGTGTATCCTTTGGCTTTTGATTTTTTTAATTCTCAAACAACGAAAATTCAAAGAGAAATTTGTAACTGTACTTCAACTGATTATCATCCGTTTTCTGCTAATTAGTAGTTGAAAACGTGCGTCACGGTGTCTCCTGCGTCTCTTGAGGTATCGATTTCCCTCCGCTTGGCCGTAGTAAATTAGGGCGAGTTCTATTTATAATTCAAGCTCTGCTCCTCGCGGATTCATGCAAATTGAAAATTAAAAATATTTATACACCAAACGAATTTTGAATTCCGAAAAACATTAAAAAATAATTTTTTTTCACCTCCATCCCGCACCCGTGGAATGAGGATATGATACATGTATTCTTTTTACCGTCTTTCAACAAAGTTTTTGTGAAAAAAAAAGAAAAAAAAAAAAAAAAAAAAAAAAGTCACGCTTGTTTATGCCTCTTTGCACTGCAAAAGTAGGATATTCCATTTTAGTCAAAGCCAGCCTTCTCTCTTTTCGACTACAAGTGAGGCATTATAGGTATACATAAATTTGTAATGCGAAAAACAGATTTTTCCGGCGTAGACGCGCACACACGGTATCAAAAAGGGAAACACTACTCTGCTCACGTATAAATTATACAAGCGATCAAACGCACACATAGAAATACCACCGCATCATCGGGAAGTTCCCCATCCTCGGGGGACTTTCCACATACACAACAGTGCATATTATGTACACATGTAACATACATATTCCGCGATGATGTGTATACCATTGCTGCGTGTGCAGTGGAAAAAACGCCCCATCTACTCAACTTTACAAGCCATTCGTCAAAATTCTAATCTCGACGAGGAGCGCGATAGCGCAAAAATACGATTTTCCAACAACTCACTCGTCGATACAATAACTTACAGTGGATGCGTGTACTTATTGTATATGTATGGGTATACGGGCAGGATGGGCAATTTATTTTATATCTCAAAAACAATTAGTTTACCTTTGTTTCGAAGCACCAAAGCGTACACACACCTCTGCAGATTTTCTTGTAATCATGACGTTGTGTTCTTTAACCCGATGCCTTCCGAGACAGCTTTGTCTGGTACTTAATTGTGTTTGCAAAGGAGACAAAGGATGGAGCGTAGAAATAAAAAGTAAAAAGTCACCAGAGATAAAAAAAAAAAAAAACAAATAAACGCCCACAATTAGTACAAGGAGGAGAGGAGGAATGAATGAAACTGGTGCCGTATTATATACGTGTATACAAAGACACAAGCCGGGGGGATAGGCGGATCCTAACGAGGTATATATTATACATACGTCCAATCGATTGTCACGGTAATGCGCGACGTTTCCTGCGCCACGATGGTATAGTTATACTATCCGCACACCACCAACCACGGCAGTATACATATATGTATGTACAATATACATCTTCTTGTATATGTATGTCGTCAAATTAGATTAATCAAGAATGCCTCCCTTTCCCCACACATCCACAAGGCACTTAGCTGTCAGAGCTGAGCGTAAAAATTGATGCGTCACCACCCCTTCGATTCATTGTAGTAGGTATACGTGCAGGTGCTGCTTATAAATATCTTGCTTTATTTTTCCAACCCCCCCCCCCCCCCCGAAAAAAAGCAACGGTAGGTGTATAGCTCGCTAAAACCCAACGTCCCTATGCTCCGTCTGTAGCTGTTGCGGGCAAACACGCCCTTTGAGAATATACCTCCCTCTGACTCTTGACACGTATTTTTGTACATATATACGTACGACGTCTGGTTTCTCGATCAAAGGGAATGAATTTTCCGTGCCGCGCTCTAATTGCACGTTTTCATATATATTTAAATGATAGGCACATCCTTGACACGTATACCATGTACGTTCTCTCGGGATATAATCAAACTAATTAAATCTCGCGAAACAGTAGAATCGCTTCCGGTATGGCCAACAAAAACCATGAGAGAAAAATGGATGAATCGCGAAAACGAAAATGAAACAAGAGGTAAAAAGAGCCATAAGTTTTTTTCCGCGCAGAAAGAAAAAAAGAAGAAAAAGGGTACACCCTCCCTCGTTCCCGCTTTATCTCCGAAAAGTTTCCGCTTCGAAATAGCTGTTCGCCGCTGGAGTTTCAAAGAAGAGTAGCGGTAAAGGTGTATATATATACATATTTATACTGCATACAGAGCTGTGTACGAGCAGCGGGATGGTATCGCGAATCGTTCAAAGAAAAGCAAATTTAAAGGCAATATCACGCGCCCGCGCCAGACCCTCCTAAACGCCCACGTCAATATTTGCTTATCCCCGCGACTTTGCGAATCCCTCTCTCTCTGAGATTTTGGTTTTTTTTTCGCCATCAAAGGGTGCGTTTGTACATTGTATGAGGAAAATGGACTTTCGGTGCTGGCAGTGTTTGATCATCCAAGTTTAAGACCCGGGCTCGATCTTCGGGAACAATTGTCGAGCTTAATTTGAGGCTATCCAATTACAATGCGTTCAACTTGCTTGGGGCAAACGGGGAGGGAGCACTGCTGCCAAGATTAAATGTATATTATAACGGGGACGGGTACGTATATAATATATAGGTAGTGCATGCACAGACGAGAACTTTGTTGGTCTTGGCTCTGTTTAATCCTCGCGATCTTTCGAACAAGCTCGTTAGGTAAAACCAGGAGTCAAAGTTCGGGTTAATGGAATTAGCGCTCGAGGGGGCTTTTTTTTATTGTCAGTTCGGTGATATCTTCATTTTATGGGGGTAAAATTAAGGCCGCCAGCGAACGACGTCCAGGAGTATTTGCCTGTGCCTGTGCAGTAATTCACTTTCTCCGACGTCTAGGTTCTCTATGAGTCCCTGGTACTCCTGGAACAGTTGTTTACGAGCCTCGGGTGCCTCGGCGATGTTGGTCACGGTCTGCAAGGGGGGGGGGGGAGAAAAAAGAAAAAGTTAACCCTCGATAACTTTTATCCCTCCCGTGAAAGATTCTTCTTTGCTCTACTTTTATTTTTTCAAAGCAACTCTCACACCTTTAAAATCGCGAGCAGCAGCATGTCGTCGTCGTCGTTGTCGTGGTCGCCGCAACACCGGCAGCCCTTTTTTTTCCTCCCCGTCGCTAAATACAGGAGCCTGTTCATCATTTCCAGCTCGAGAGCTCGCAGCTTACCCTTCGTCGTAATTGTAACAAACGAGGCGACGCGCACGGCCTCCACTAGCAGATGCTCCCGCTGCAATGTTTATTCGTACCCATACAAACACATACCTGCACGTCGCACTACTTTTTTCCCCCGTTGGCCCTTTCACTTTTTTTTCTTCTTTTGTTTTGTTCGCATGTAAAACAACTCTCAAGAAAGAAAAAAAAATACTTCACTTTGTCGTAGATGTATCTCTTGAGGGTCTTCAAGAGGTCGGCGTCGTTTGCCCTTTGTTTCCCGGTGGGGCACTCGCACAGGTTTTTCATGCAAATCAGCGCTCCGCGCAAAACTCGCTCCTCGTCCACATTTTCGAGCAGGCTCGCTAATTTTTCAAAGAGCCCGTCCTCGATCGCCCTGGCTGCGTCTCTTTGCGTCAGCCACCTCAGCGTGTCCAAGTGAACGATCTGCAAGCACGTGGATTGTTGTTTTTTTTTTCCATCTGGTTAACACCATCTTTTATGCGAATCGAGTCGTACCAAAACTTCCTTCTTTTCCTCGCACACGCTCTTTACGATGACCTCCAGGAAGCCACAAGTGATCATGAGGTCGGCAGCTGTGTTTATGATCATAAAAAGAAGGTTAGTGCACGTGAGATCGATTGGAGGAAATGAACGGACCTACCGTTTGGCTCCTGGGCCAGGGTTTCCACGGCCAGGGCTACCTTCAGTCGCACAGCCGCGAACTTGTCGCCGAGGGCTTTCAGCAAGTTCGAAAGGATGTCAAAGTTCTCCGTGATCGCGGTCCTTCCCGCGTTTTGGTTGGCTATTGTTGAGTAAATCATGGCGACGCGCTCCCTCAAGTAAGGATCTTTCGACACCAAAAAACTCGATAACCTGAAATATGTTTCTCTTAAACGTTGAAACGAGGAATTTATGTGTGTTATTGTTGCAAGTCTCACTCGTCAACGATACCCAAGCCGATTGCTTCGATCGATTTTGCGGGGTCGATCAGGAGATCTCCCAAGGTAGTCACTGCTTGTCTTACGATCAAAGGATCGCAGTTCTCAAGCTCTTTTTTCTACAAAAAAGTCACCTGAATTTACAAAAAAAAAAAAAAAAAAAAAAACTACCAGTAGGATAAGGGTGACAGTGGCTCACGAGCTGAGGCAATGCATACGGGCCGAACGCGCACTTGGAGCGAGTAACGTCGACATCGGGAGCAAAACACTGTGGCTGAGCTGTGCGTAAGCGTGACAATGGAAATTTCGATTTCGTAGCCTCGGTTTTCAAAGTTCTGGTGTAGATGCACGCTGTGGAACGAAAAGAAAGTATCGTTTTCGAATGTTTGAAGAAACACGCCATTCACAGAGACTTTACTGTACATAACCTCTTTCGACTACTCGGTCGAGGATCTTCGCGGACAAGTCGGGATTGCAGGTTTGAAGGAAGCTATTCAACTTTGGATGGGGATACATGTTTTTTGACCTTTGGAAATTGACTATAACCAGGTTTTGCCGTCACTTTGGAGAATTTCTAAAGGTAAGTAACTTGATAGGTTATTAACCTCAAATTGTTATCGTTGCGGGTGTTACATCAACACAAAAGTACGCGTAACAGGTATGTATGGTGTGAACGCATTTATTTTTTTATTATTCCATTGTCATTAAAAACCACAATCATCAATCGTATCTTACAATTTACATATATAATAGTATATATAAGTCGTGTGTCTGTGTATATTTACGTATACATACATATATAGTTATGTAGCAACCATGGATTATTTTGTTTTTATTGACGTGTTAGCTTGTTACACAATTTTATATTTCTTTGATTATAACATACATATATTTGAAAAACAAATCGTGTAATAATGATTGTACAGTGAGTCAATTATAAATGTATAATATATTGATATATATAGTGTCATGGTAGTATATAATATAAATTCGACGATAGAGTCGTCCTTTCAGTCGCGCACTAATTACGACAGTTTCTCTCACTCTGAGTGTCAAAATCTTAAATGTTTTTTTTTTTTTTTTTTTTTTTTTTCATAAAAATAAAAAGTACAATAAAATTTCTAATCATACTTTGCCGTAATTTTCGTTTCTGCTGCCCTTGAACGATCGAAAAAGCCACTGTCGTAATTAAGCGGACGGTTCATTTGTGCATTCTGTAAAAATATCTCGCATACTTATATCATAATGGTATTAATAATAATGATAATAATAATAATAATATTAATTAATAAAAATAACAAAGTAACAGATGAGCGCCAATAACTGGTAACTGTGTCGTTGTTATATACGTATTATAACCGAGCCGCGTGTGTGTTCACTGGGGGGTTTCTTCCTGGTGTCCCCTTCCTCAAGCCTTGTGCCTCTGCAGAGCGTGAAAAAGAGCAAACGATTTCATTCAGCAATAGAGTACATAAATACATATATTATAGTTACAGCATGAAGAAACAACAAAAAAACAAAAAAACAAAAACAAAAACAAAAATCACGTACCTTGTCCTCGCGATTGACGACCTTGCACTGCGGCCGGCTGACGACATGAGCCGAGTAGCCGTAACTCGCCTCGGCGCCGCAGACGCAGTCCTGCTCGATTTCGATGGACGCCAGGTTCTCGGCGATCCTCCTGGCCGCCACTTTGATGTACTGCGCCTGCTGGTTCGGCTTGGCCTCCAAGAAGTTGTGCATACCAAAGGCCGCACCTCCGGTCTGTGTAAAAAGTTGTATTATACATAATATATTTATCGTTTCATATTAGGTAAAAGCTAAAATAGAGTCGTGTTTATTGTATAATGAAACTTACGCTGACTGCGAAACCGGCACAGACGTCCTTGCCGGGCAGAGTGAGGCTGCTCTTCATCTCGGTGCTGCCTTCGAGCGGCTTTTTCTTGCTGTCGGAGAACGTGTACACGTAGTCCTTGTCGAAACCGACGACGCTCTTCTGCGGCTTGCCCGCGATTTCGATGTCCTTGAGGGGCGACAGGTGGTAGTACGTCATGCCCAGCTGCTTGTATATCTCACGGCCCAGGAGCAGCCTGTAGTCCTGGAGCTGTTGAAAAAAAGTCGGTCACGTGTGCTCGAGTTCATTTGTCCCGGTATTATGTGGAGTGAACATATAGTCACCGATAGCGGGGACAATGGGCTCTTCTCGCAAGGCGTGCTTATGAGACCGACGACGGCCTTGGCCGCGCCCGGCCTGAACGGGTAGCGGATGGCTGCCTCGTAGGCGTCGGTGAGCTTGAAGGTTCCCAACTCGACGTCCAGCCTTTGCTTGAGATACTTTATTTTTGTCGACGTTTGCTTGTCCTCTTTGGCTTCCTGGAACATTATCGATTCAAATCAATGGTGTTCCAATCAATGTAGGCTCAGCTCGATAATGACAATATTACCTGCAGCGACACGAGTGGCTCGCGAGTGTTGCTGAACGCCATGTTACTAAAGTCTCCGCCCTCGATGTTGAGATTTCCGTTCGAGGTGTAGTGCTTCGGCCACTTGAGGTTGTTGCCGAAACCGATGAGTCCGATGAACACGTCGCTGTTCTCGAACGAACCAGTTGCGAAATATCAATGATTGCCGTTAAAAAAAAAAAAAAAAAAAAAAAAAAAAAAAAAAAAAAAAAAAAAAAGAGAGAGAAATTTAAATAGCTTACGTGATTCCTTGTTGTTTCAGCTCAGTTCTGAGCTCGCTGATGACGGGCTTGATGAAATCCTTGAAAGTTTTCTCGTTGTCGGACTCCTGCTCGACGACGATCACGATGTCGGCCTGCTTTCCCGGGATTTTGACGCTGAAACTGTCGCCACCGCTGATGACTGAATCGCCGACCTTGCACTGAACTGCAAACGCAAGACGGATGGATCAGCAAAATGCACCACGAATGTTATTAACGCGCGGCTCAACTTACTGCAGTCGGCGGGCAGACTGACGAAGATGTTTTTCACCAGACAGGCAGCCGCGTAAGTCGCAGCGACTACGCAGGGACCGGACTTCTGGCCAGACAATTGGTCGCATGACGCTCGGTAATCCTTGGCCTCGACGTAGCTGAAGCACGGGCTGCAAAGAATTTCGATGTGAAAAGAAGAAGAAAAAAAAAAAAGTCACGCGTCACATGTTATTGAGCAATGTATAATTACCTGAGCGTCGACTTTCCGGTGAAGTACTTGGTACATACGGGGGAACGGGGAGCTTCGGCCTCCTTGGCGGAAGCAGCGCCGCAGGACGGATTGAGCTTGTAGGCGTTGCCGAATTCGCTGGTGCCCGCGGCCAGCTTGCCGTTTGGCAGAACAAAGTCGTCGAAGGGCTCGTTGTTGGCGTCGCCGAGGAGACCGCGGAGCTTGGCGTGGTAGAAGCCCGAGACTCGCACGTAGCACGACGTGGCCGTGCCGACCGAGCAAACCAGCTTGACGCCGTACTTGGAGATGACCTTCCTGAGCGGCCCGACGATGTGGGCGTCCATGTTCTTGGTGCTTCTCGGGAACTCGGATGGCTTGTTGTTCACGAGAAGCTGCGCGCGGAAAAGATCATTATTTGTAATACATCCACAGCTAAGTTATATACCATAGCTTTCACGATTTATTGGAGGGGCTTATTTACGTTTCCGTTCGACTTGATGGTGATGCTCTCGCCCGGCTCAGTGATGGAGACGCTGACGATATTACCGTTGGCAATATCCAAGACGACGCTAAAGTTGCCGTCCTGTATGTCTTGGGCCAGGACGTACTGGCAAGTACCGGGGAACACTAACTGCCTGCCGTCGAAAGTTACAAAGACGCCACCATCACCGAAGTAGCCGTACTTTTTGGCGGGTGGGATCGAATCCTCCGTGTGGTAAGTCGGTCTGGTGATCAAGTGTGTGTTGTATGAAAATTGAAAAATTTCGCTCCACAAATGTTTTTATAACAATAGCAAATACCCACCTGTACGTGTAGTAAAAGTCAGCTGCGGTGGGAAGTTCGCCGTTCATCAGGAGTTTTAGGATCGAGAATTTGATAATTGAGAGTCCTGGAAGCTTCCTGAAGTAGCTCATGTCGACTGGCATCAGTTGGGTCTCAAAGAAGCCAAAGACGTTCTCGGCCGTCGCGTGCGACTGTAGGAGATCGACTATCGAATAGATCGCGTTCAACGCCTGCGTGTATATCTTTTTGACTTCGTTCGAGTTGTCCACCTGGGGGATCACAAAGAAATCGTCATCACGACCAAAAGTATATGGGAATGATGAGATTAACGAGAAAACACGCGTACCTTTTCGTGCTTGGCGTGCTTGAGAATGTAATTGTACAGGGTGGTGAAGAAATCTTTGAGCTCCTGGGTAGGCAGGATGTTTTTGATGTTGTTGCAGAATTCCTCGATCGGGGCGAGAATGTAGTCGGGGATTTTGTAGTTGGCGAGCTCCCTGTACATGTTCTGGGTGATCTCGTAAACGGGCAAGGCGCGCAGCTGTTGGGCAAGCAGTTGTACGAATTCCTTGACCTCTTTTTCTATCTGAGTGGCGCCCTTGGAGATGATTTTGGCGATGTCCTGGACAAGCTCGGACACGACCGACACGAGTTCCTCGATGTCTTTCTGGTGTTCGTTCAAGACCTTGAGGATGGCCTCGACGTAAGCTGTCGCTAGCTTCGTAGTGGAATCAAAAATGGCGATGCTGACTTTCAAGAGCTTGTCGCACGACTCCTTAAACTGCGGATAGGTAGCCTTGATGGCCTCTTGCAGTTTGGTGACGATGTTGTTGAACTGCTCTCGCAATTCCTCAAAGTTTTCGGCGAATTTCTTCACAGTTTCAAGAACGGCTTCGATAATACCTCCAAAGGTCTTGTTACTACGAATAAATAATAAACACGTAAATACAGGTCATTCCTTTAATCGGAGGATACTATATGGCGAAACTCACAGTATGTCTTGGATCTCCTTAACAGTCTGGTCGGCATGGAGCTCGCTCTTGAGCTTTACCAGCTCTCCCTCGAAGTAGGCGATGAGAGGCTTGATGTTTGGCTGGGCTTTTTTCAGGTGCTCGAAAAGATCGGTCATCTCGACGATGAACTCTTTGCCCATTTCCTCGCCAATTTGCTTGCTCTCCTTAACTCTTTCCGTCAGAACGTCGCGGTAATGGTTCTACAAACAGTATAAATCAAAGCCCGTCATATTTTCGTTGTTTCACAATAGTACCGTCCCGAATGATATTGCGATTAGAAACTTGCCATCACGTTTATGATGTTCTTGTTGTTGTAACCAAAGTCGGGCTTTGTGAGTTTCTTCTCCTCCAAGTGAATCAACAGGTGGAACAATTCCTGTTTCGCTCCGTCCTTGTACGCGTCAGCGTGAATTTGCGCGAGCTGTCCGAGAACGATTTTTCCGTTGACGGCAATTTTGTTCTTGGAGTCATCTAACAACATCAAAATGGCCATATAAGTATTGATGGGAAAAAAAAAAAAAAATAAAATAAAAGTTGCGAAAACGTTTGATTGAAACACCTTTGCGACCAAAGTCGATTTGGAAGCTGTTGTAGTCCTTGAATTCAACGTTGGCCGAGATCGGCTTGTGGCCCAACAACGAGAAGACGTTCTCGAGTTTCTGCAAGTCCTTGGTGACGGTGATGGCGGAGTGGGACTTGACGAGTTCCTTTCCGGGTATGAAGACGTAGAGGTCAGCTTGCTGCGGACTGGCCGAGAAGTACGCCCCAAGTGACTTTGGTTTCTGAAGTTTGTCGGTGTACGAGAGGCTAGCACCGAGATCTAGGGCGTTTGCGCTCACGGCCACGTGCTGGTCGGCCTTGACGTCCAATTTTTGGCCCTTGCTGTGCACGTAAAAGTGTCCCGTGACGTTGCAGCCTTTCGGCACGTCGCTACGCATGAGTTTGGCAGTAGCCATGATCTTATCGTTTTTGTTGCTGAAAACGTCTATGTCGAAGCTGGCGTCGAGTATTTGGTCCCCTCCGACAAATACCTTTCCTTTGACTATCATGTCCTACGTTGAACGTAGTTTGGGTATTAATAAGACGCGTACGTCTGCGGTGGGGGAAAAAAAAGTGTATCAATAATCGACGAACCTTTGGTTGAGTTGGATACGTGAATTTGGCTTCTCCATTGACTCCTACGACGTTCTTGTTGATGTTGATGTCGCCCACCAAAACGACACTGGTCTTCTCCGAGGGCTTGTTTTTCCTGTCCAAGTACAGGGACACGTCGATTTTGTACGCCCCGGAGTGCTTGATGGCTGGGACATCGTGGAAAGCGACGATAGCCAACTCGCGGCTCGGGAGTGTGAAAACGGCAGCTTAAACCCAACAACACACGCGTCAACGATGAGAATTGATAGGCAAAATAAAGGCCATGTGTACGATAAACCTACCGGATTCGCGTTTGTTGAAATACAAGTGGTACGTGTACTGAGTACGGTCCTTGGACGAGTGGAGGTAGAGATTGGCCTGATGGTCGAGGGAGTAGTCGGCGTACTTGGTGCTCGAGAGCAGTCCAAACTCGACGGGGACGTTGAACTTTTTAAGATTGACTTCGACTTGGAGATTGTGGTTCAAGTGCGTGAGCTCTTCAAAGGCACAGTGGAAGAATTCATGTAGTAACGCGCATTTTGCAGACCATTCGAAGAGGGGAAAAAAAAAGTACGTACTATCAGTGTCGAGGGTCGATTGGAGCTTGAAGTGAGCGCAGTCCTTGCTCTGCTCGCAGTAGCTGTTGAACACGTGGACCTCCTTGTCGGAGAGCTTGAGCTCGCCAACGATGGCCGAGGGGCCGAAGCTGGCGTTCAGCATGATGGCGACTCCTACCTCCTTGTCCGCCTCGCGCGTCAAAAGCTTGCGGACGTACTTGAAGGAGGAGCTCTTCTGGTTCTCACCGATCTTCAGGCTACCGTTACCCTCGAGCGTCACCTTCTTGTCCTCCTCGTGTCTCTTGTAGTTTGTACTGCACAGAGGATTCAATGAAAAAATAAAAAATCTCAAAAACGGGTTAAATGAAAAAAAAATAATGTACCTTCCAGTGACGAGGTTCTTTCCTTCCGAGGTAACCGTGATGAAGACTCTCCTACCCTCTTGGGAGCTGAGCTTGTTGGCAATTTCGGCGTGAATCTTGCGATACTTGACCTTGTCGCTGTCAAAGTCGACGTTGAGCACGAAATCATCGACGCTCTCGAGTTTGACGCGCCCGTCGGCAACGACAAATCCCTTGGGCGTCATCAGTTTGTAGCTCCCCGAGTACTCGTTGTCACCCAATTTCTTAAACTTGGACAGGAGCTCGGTTTTACCGGCCGGACAGGTAAAGACCAAATGTATGCCGGGCGCGTCCTCGAGCTCGATCTCGGTCGTCTGCGTGTACTTGACACCGTCGACCGTAACGGTGATCTCCGTCTTTCTTGACTTTTCGCTCTCCCTCTGGTATCAAAAATCATACGTGTTTGCCACTTGAGCCATGATGTAATTATTGTCATTCAAAAGCATCGCGCTATATACCTTGTGATCCATCTGTAGATCGACGTTCTTCAGTTTATCCAAAGGCGTGGTGAACTTGCCGTTGACGGAGACCTTGGTAAAGTCAGAGTGCCACTGGAGATTCAGATCCCCGGTGACTTCCTTGTCGCCGTACTTGACACTGCCCTTCTCGTGCACCTTCTTCACGTCCTCGGTGAGATCGTGGTTGTAGTTCTCGCTGATGGACAGGGTCGGCTTGTCGAGGATTTTGAGCGAGCTCGTCACGGCACGCTCGAATTTCCCGAAGCTGTCAAAGCCCTTGCTGCCCGAGTGCTTGTAGTGGCTGTTGAGCTTGATCGTCTTGTCGTCGTTGTACGTGAGCGTCCTCGCCCTCGTGAACTCAAAAACGCCGTTCTCGTCCGCCTGGTCCATCACGGAGTCATCAAAGTCGTACCTGATGTTCTTCAGTTTGTCGCTCGGCAACTTGGCCTCGACGAAACCCTTGATCGTCCACGGCTTGTCGGCCCGGTTGCCACTGACAATGTTCACGTTGCTCTGCAATTCAAAATAACACGGGGAATCCCAACATTATATAGGCACCCCCACGTGTACCGCGAAACGCGTCATATATAATAAGCCTTTTACGTACCTTAACTTGAAGATCGTCGCCTCGGGAGACGGAACCCTTGAACGCCATGTTGTCGTGGTCGTAGTCCAGGGCCGCTTTGCCGTTGACCGCGTACGGCAGCAGACTGCCCGACACGGCAACGTCCACGGCGGCCGTTTTCTTGTCGGAATCGGGCTGGGCCTCGTTCTTCAGCATCACCTTGTAGACGAGCTCCTTGCCGTCGTTGTGCACGTACTTGATCTCGTAGGCATTGTTAAATAGGTACTCCCTGACGTTGTACACGTTACCGGTGCCATCGGCTATGATCTTGCGTGTCTCGCCGCCCTTGGTGACAGCATCGGCCAACTCCAAGTGAACCTTGCCGTCGAGCTTCTCGTCCTTCTTGGCTATCACTCGGTCGCCCTTCATCGTCAATTGGCGGCCGTTCGGCAGCACCAGCTCGACCTCGATGTCCTGCTTGCCGTTCATCAGTACTCCCTGGTGATTGGCCTTGAAGTTCACCTGGGTCTTGTAGCTCATGATCTCGATGGTGTTCTTCGAATCGACCGAGCTCCTGGAGAGTTGGCTGTCGGTCGACAGTTTGATCCTCTTGCTCGGGTTCTTGTCGGCGTCGTAGGCCAGCTCGAAGTTGGCCACGTGCCTCGGACCGGTGACGGTGATGTCGCCGGTACCCCGGATCTTCCGGTTGATCTTCGGCACGTCGATGTTCACACTCACGCTGCCCTTGTCGTTCTGGTAGGCGAACTCGCCGTTGGCGATCAGGTAGCTCTTGAGGTCGAACTTGAGACTCCCACTGGCGGAGCTCGGGGCCCGCTTGATCCCGAGCGAGTAGTCGACGCATTTCTCCTTGCCGACAATCAGCTGTACGTGGTTGTCGAGTTTGTCCGGCGTGCACTGGAGGCCAGTGTCCACCTTGATCTGCTTGCCGTTGAGGTCGATGTCGGCGTCCACGGCCACGTCCACGTCGTTCTTTACGGCCTGCCACTTGACGGCCGCGTCGGCCCGGTATGTGCCGCCCGGCGTCAGTTTCAGCGAGTTCTCGAACTTGCTCTTGTGCGCGTCGACGATGCTGCGCTTCGACTCGAGCTTGATCTTGTTCTCGAGCATCTCGGCGCTGAACTCGATCTCGTAATCCAGTGGCTTCTTTTGGCTGTGCTTGCCCGAGAGCTCGGCGCCGAGCTTGAACTTGTCGTACTTGAGCTCCAGCTCGGAGCCGAGGGTGTTCCTGGTGACGGCGCTGTCGAATCGGGCGACCATGCCCACCCGCGGGTAGTGAAGCTTGTTGCTGCTCGACAGGCTAAACTTGGACGGCTCGGGGTTGTACTCGGCCTTTTGGATGAGCTCCAGCCGGTTGTCCTTGGACTTGAGATCGGCGCCCTGGACGAAGGCGAACTTGTGCTCAAAGTGACCCGGCTTGTCGCGGTTGAGCTCCCACTCGATGCCGAACGAGCTGGCCGGGTACTTGGACGGCTTGACCGAGGCGGTCAGGGTGTACTGCAGCCTACCGAGGCGCTTGTGGTCGAGCTTGACCTCGAGCTTCTCGTCCGTGCCGTAACTGAGGCTGACGTCGAGTTCCGTGGACTTCGGAGTCTCCACGGCCGTGCCCTCCAAGCCAATGACCTTCTTGCCGTTGGAGACGAACTGCAAGTCGTTGAAGGCGATCTTGTGGCCACCGTCGTGTTCCGCGACCTCCACCGTACCCAACAACTGGTGGGCTTGGCCCTTGGCCGACTTGAGCCCGGCCAGTTTCTCGATGTGTTCGGGCATCTTGTACTCGAGCACCGGCTTGTACTTGCCTATGCTCAGCGACTTGCCGCCCACGCGCGCGTAGTACTCCATCTGGTCGTTCTTGAGGGTGACACTGTACGTGTGCTCCATGGACTCGTTCTTGATGACGAGCTCGGCCGAGGCTTTCTTGATCGGCGAGTCAAAGGCGAGCTTGAACTGGGGACCGGGCCCATCGGACATGGAGGCCAGCATCGACAAGTACCTGTTGGTACGGCTGTTGGGCGTCTCGAGGAGCAGCTCGAGCTTGCGCTCGCCGGGGACATCGCTGGCCCAAAGGGCCTTCAGGTGGTAACTGGTCACGTCGTTGTTCTCAATGGTGGCGTGGGCCTTGAAGGGCCCGCTCAGCGGGAAGAACGGCTTCTTCTGGAGGGCCGCCAAGTTCTCGTACGGGTAGGACACGTGGCCGCAAATCGTCAGGCCCAGAGGCGCGGTGAACTGGTCGAAGCAATCGGAGCGCTCCTTGCCCTTGCCGAACTTGACAGGTGCGTACTTGTCGGGTTTGCCGCTGCTGTAGAGCACGTCACTCGTCACGCTGATGATCTCTTGTTTGCGCTTGGGTAGCCCAAGACTGACGTCGATGCCCTTGCCATTGAGCACCTTGAAGTTGAGATCGTAGCCGGTCGCAGTGTGCAGGGTGGCCACGAGCTTGATGCCCGACTCGGTGCCGAAACCGTCCGAGACCCCGAGCTCGCCTACCACCTCGACCGCGGCGCTCGGCTCCAGGGCGATCTTGAACGTGGCGTCCCACGGCTCGTTCATTATGGCCGGCAGGTTGATCTTGGCGCTGGCCTTGGTGCGCACGACGCTCGAACCCGAAACGGCCAGATTCAGGGCCAAACCGAGACCCGTGGGGTAGCACAGCTCCGCCTGGAGGAAGTGGATGTGGCTCTCGGTGTCGTGCTCGAGGTTTTTCAGGCCCGAGATCGCCCGATCGGCGTACTCAAAGAACCGATCGACCAGCTGCTGGGGCGTGTACGCCGCCTGCTCGGAGCTACCGTAGCTCAAGTAGGCCAACTCGGTGCCAAAGAGCCTGAACGAGAGATCGAGCACGAGATCCTCGTCGATCTCGTTACTTGTGTGCAGCTGCACGCCCTTGGCGAACTTGTCGAGATCGGCCTGTTTGACGTCCCGTTTGGCGCGCTGTTTGCGCTCGGTCAGCCGATCTCTGATGTACTTGGCAAGATGATTGACGCGGTCTATGCTGTTTTTAGCCGACTCCTGGGCCCGCTGGCTCGGTATCACGCCCTTCGGGCCGAGGAAGTGCTCGATCATCCGGTCGAGGTTCTCGACGCGCGCGTCCATCTCGAAAAAGTTGAACGACCGGCCAAACAGCCCCGTCGTCAGGTTCAGACTGACCGAGCGCGGTACGTAGCTGTCCTGGCTGAAGATGACGTTGCTCTCGACGCTCGAGGCCGCCCCGAAGGCCCCGAGGTTGTGCGAGATCTCGCTGTTGAACGAGTACTTGCGCACGTCCTCGGGGAACTTGGCTTTGGGCCTTATCTGCCCGTAATAGGTCTTGGCCGCTTCCTTGAACGGATCGGCCGAGGCGCGCAAGTTGCGCAAATGCGAGCTCACGAACGAGCCGACCTGGTAGACCTTCTCCTTGTCGAGGGCCTCCTTGACCTTGGCCGCCGAACCGGCGCACGGACAAGCGACCAGGGCCAAGTAAGCCTTTATCCGGATCTCGCTGTCCTCCTCTTGGTCGGCGAAACTCTTGATCATCACGTCCTTCCAGAGCTTGGAGCACTTTGCCGGGAGGGCCTCGATCGCGGGTACTCGCACTCGCCGGCGTACCGTCTTGTCGGCGGCGATGGCCGCGATTTTCTTGATGCTCGCCTCGTCGAGGTAGTTGGCGTTGCCGAGGGCCTTGAGGGCCGCGATCGCCGTGTCCTCTTCGGCTCGTTTCTGGGGCTTGCCGTCCTTGACCTTGGCCAGGAGCTTCTCCAGGGCCTTCTTCACCTCGGGCGCCTCGTCGCACTGGTGCTGCCGGCAATACTTGCCGATGATCTGACCCACGCCGAGATAACCCAAGCGCGACAAGTTCGGCTGGTCCAAGAGCTCGGCCACCGCGGCCACCGATGGCAAGTTCACGTGCCGCACGAAGGCCAGACTCGCGTAGTAGAGCACCGCCTGGAGCTCGCCGATCTCCTTGTTCTTGATGAGCTCGACCACGACCTCGGCCGCCTCGCCCGTGCCCACCCGGTAGAGCGCGTCGAGCAGCAGCTTCTTGTCGCGTTCCTTGTTGTAGCCCGCGCCCGCCTTGATCCTGTGGTACACCGTGAGCATGTCCTTGCGGCTGCTGGTGCGCAGGACGCGAACGAGCTCGGAGAATTGCCGGGCCGCCTCGGGCTTGACCGCGTCGGCGTCGTCCTTGTGGATCGGCTGGAGGGCCTTTTCGATGGCCTCGACCGACGACTTGACCACCGGGTGCGGCGCCTCGAAGATCAGTGACTTGGGCAGGGAGACTTGGGCCCCACCCGAGCCGTCCTTCTTCCCCTTGTAGGTGAGGGTCGTCTCTACGGTCGTGCGAGCCCCCGCCTCGCCGTTGCTGAACGGCCGTAGCTTGTACGTCTCGGACGACACGGCCTTGTCGAGGACACCGGCCTTGAAGCGCTGCTCGACCTTTTGCTTGGCCCCTATCAGGGGCGTCGATTGCATGCCGGCCGACGAGTCGACGATGCCCGAGAACAGACCGTGCTTCACGTGCTCCCGGCCCGAGCATGCGTTCAGGTTGCGGGTTTTCTGGACCACCTGGACATCGGCCTCCTTGAAGAAGCTAAAGTCCGTCGGGCAGCCCCCGAGTACGTCCACCTGGAAGCATCAACAAACGTGGCGGGTTGGTCGGAGGGGAGGGAGGGAAACAAAAAGAGAGTGCCATTATGGCTCACCTCGTGCCTGCTGGTCGTGCCCTCGTCCTGCACGACCGCCGATTGGAAGAGCGAGATGACGGCTCGCTTGATGTTGAGGGAGGCTTGGGAGTCTCCGGGCTCGGCGCACAGCTCCGTGTCGATGTGCCCATGGTGATAGTTGAACTGGAGCGCGTACTTTTCGAGATCTTGTTGGGGTACGGCCTGTGTGCGAGTGAGTGTTTTTTTTCACGTACAATTGACAAGTACAAGGTCATACCGTTGCAAACTGTATCACGTATGTATATATATCGGTGTACTCACAGCTCCGTTGACCTGGACGTTTTTGAGCTTGAGCTGTCTGATGCAGTCGGGCTTGACGGCGAGCTCGACGTCGGCTTTGAGCTTGAGAGTCGCCTCCCCCTGGCCCTCGCTCACCAACGTCGTCACCGATGTGCCCTCCAACACGTACGTGTAGATCTGGCCCTCCTTATACGATTGGTCCGAGTGCACTGAAATTTTAGTTTATTCGTTATTTTTTTCCTAAATCCAATCCACCCCTTTTTTAGGGTCGTTTTTTTTTTTTATACTTACTTCCATGGCAGCCGACCGTACATTTGCCTGTGCGGGAAGAAAAAAGAAAAATCAGTCCATGGTGCGTTACATTTTTTTTTTTTTTTTTTTTTTAATCGTGCTTACGTGTTACGTAACAAATAGGTATTTATATGCGTGTAGGGGACTGATGGTGGGCCGAAGCGAGTTTTAACGGTAAAAACGGGTGATTAACGTTGAGGTCGACGACGACGACGATGATGATTGTTGATAAAAAAAGATGAGTTTGTGAATAGTTAACAATAAATGTACACTTGCACAAGCGGGCAGCGTGCGTGTATACACAGTCGAAAAACAAAGTCGAGAAAAGGAGATAAAAATTAATCTCCCCCTTCTCCGAGAAGAAGAAGATGCGAGATAGCCGCCAAGGGAGAGAGAGAGAGAGAGAGAAAAAAAAATCCATATAATTTATGCACTGACAAGAGAAAAGTTCTTGGTGGGGTCGCGACTGATAAAGCCCATCGTTAATCGTCGTGTTTTCTTCTTCTGACCCGCGATGAGAGATTTTTGAGCCGCGCGCTCCGAGCAAAGCTATAATGTACCCCCACGCGCCAAGAAAGAAAGAAAGAAAAAAAACAACTCGTTGCAAAATATCATCGGCTCCCCGACAAATTTCGCGCACTCCCCGGCGATTACACGTATATGTGGTAATTTTTTTTTTTTCTCTCTTTCCCTCCCCTTTGGTTGTTTGTTCGCACTTTTGGAATTATCAAAGCTCGATATACATATGCAAACAGGAAAAAACGAAGAAAGAGAACGAGCAATCGGTAATACGTGTGCGCGCATGGATGAAAAATGTATCCGATTTATCGAAAAGGTTAAATTGACGGAGCCTCGCAACGACCGGCTCGTGCGCGAGCTCATTAATTAAACCGAGAGATAAGGGCCGCTCTAATCAAAGACTTATTTACGAGAGAAGAGGCCTTCGATCGTACACTGACGACACACATATATACATATACACGTTGTAACGTCTTTTGTTGGGAATAATTTCAATCAACGAACCGATCATAGAAATAATAACAACAGCGCTGTGTGTGTGTGTGTGTGTGTGTGGTAGGGCGGGGGTTCGTCCGAGTTGTTTATTGTTGCCTATACACTTTAGTACACATATTATCGGACAAAGTGACCATTACCGCGTAGTTACGATACATTAGGAACCGCGACGGGAGGAGGAGGGGGTAAAAGCGTTGTGGTTTTGTATATTTACGCGATACTTTGGAAATTTTCCATTTATTCCACGGCCATCTGGTACAAAAGTGCGCAAACACACACACACACACACACGTATTCCGTTGAAAAACAAAAGTATCTAGAATTTTATGGCCGAGGGGGGCACAGCGGTGGCGTCGAAGCAACACGAATCTATGGTGGCCCATTACGTGAATCATCTGCGCGTCGACGAAGCTTAAAATAACAAGAGTAGGGAATAAAATAAAAACAGTTTGAGCAAATGAGCCTATAATACCACATAATATATGAGGTACAATCTGTCGAGTGTCCGCATGTGTATACGGGATGAATTGATTTTACCATTTGTTCTCGCATCATCATCGTGGCGATCATGAGGGTGCCAATTATGTTGGTGCTGCAGTATATACACACAAGCCAGATATCAATCTACCAAATGTCCGGTCCAACGCAGGGGGGAAAGCGGTAATCATTTCATTAAGACGCGGTCGGAGGCTTTATACACTCGCTCTCACATGCGATTCGAAAGGGGTATACATTATATACAAGCGGCGTATCTCGACACTTTAATTTGTCCTCCGACAACATTCTAGAACTCGATTGCCGTCCAAGCGAAGAGCCAGGGGTGAATTCTCGTTCCCATATACGTTTGATTCGTTATCGCAATTTTATTTTCTTCTCTTTTTTTTTTTTTTTTTTTTTTTTTTTTTTTTTTTTCATTACGAGTACTAAGGATGCCAAAAAGGTGAATCGCATGTATGATCGTCGATTTTGGAAGGTAGGGGATGAAAATGCAATTGGTGAAATATCAATGAGGGAAATGAGAAGAAAGAAAAAACAAGAAGAAGAAATACTTACTCGTTGCGATCGGTTGGGCTAGCAGGGGTAGTACCAAGCAGGCAACGATAGCCGCGGCCAGGAGCCGTGGCGGCTGAGCCATGTTTAGCGCGCCTCGTGGATCCTCGGACGTTCAAATGGTCACTTTTCCGTTCGAAAAGGGGAAAAAGGGGTTTGCGTGGGGGAAAAAAAAAAAAAAAAAAAAAAACAACTCCGTGCGTTTCCGATGCGTTCAATGGACCGAGTGCGGGTCCAGCGACACGGGGTACGGGATCACCACAGCGGCTCGCTTTTCTCCCGAGCGAGCTTTTATGCTCTCGGCCGCGGTCGCCCCTCCCCGGGGGCCATCCTCGGCATCCCCTCTTCCCTCTTTCTTTTTTTCCAAGGCCCTCAAATCTCCCTCCCTCTCTCGACCAACCGATATTTTTCTCTTGACCGGCGGATCATCCACGCACCTACTACATGCATCATGCGTTTGCCATGCGCTCCATTATAAATTTAATACGGCCATTCGCACGGAGTTTGGCGTTTTGCACACGTATAGGGGTAAGTGTACATATTTCCGTGGTCTGCCCTATTACCGTGCATTTACAAAAATGCTGTTTAATTTTTGAAAAAGTGTAATAGCGGTCGCAAAAAAATTATTTGATATTAATATCCAAGAATAGCTCAAATTAGGATAAAAATGTAATATTCATATGATTAATTTATAGAGAAAATCATATTTATGCACGGTATTAGGTACCAAGAGTATGTTAGACGGTCGTGTACGTATTACCTACCGTGGTGAGGCCTGTGATTGAGACATCCACGGTAATAGGTACATGACCACGGTAATACCTGCATACTATTTTTGTTAATTTTAATAATAATCCATTCAACTTTTAGTCTCGAAAAAAATTTTTAAATAATCTTCAAGAGTTTATGCAAGACTTAAGACAAATATCCATAGGATTTTGTCATTACTCAATATTTTATGGTGCATTTAATTTGGATTTCTTAACATACGCCACGGGAATATGTACACTTATACCCCTATTTGTATTCTTCCGTCAACGCGCTCTCTCGCCTCGGCTCGTTCGGCAAAATGTTATATATTATACCCACCGGCTGTATGGGGGAGAGAGAGACAAGGGTATAGATGTCGTATAAACGACAATACCGTCGTAAAAGCTACGCGCGTCGCTCCACATACCTGTATTCTCGCGGGTCGATGGAACTACGTGTTCCCGGAAAACTACTCGACGAGCTTGTAAAACAATATATCGTATCAAACGTGTCGTCGAGTAACTCGGAAGTTTCGTACGCGTTTAGTTCCTTGTGCATTTTACGCGTAAACTTTGCCCCCGGCCCTTTCCACTTTACACTCCTCCAGTTATAATGTTCCATACCACCTGCAATTTCAATAAATTGCAGGTAGTATATTTTAGAGGTTTGATCACGAGGTAAAAGGGGGGAAAGAAAAATTTACGCAACGAGAGTACGTGTATATTTCACGTGCTTATAACGCGTGTGTGTACATGGTTGCTCAAGTCGAGACGAGGATATACATGTTTTTTTTCTTCAGCCCGACGATCACGTGGATGTATCGCTTTGGAAACGCCGATAAGTTACGTAAAAAGTATTATATTGTTACCTTGCGTGATGATCGAGAAAATTGTTGTTGTTGTTGTTTTTTTTTTTTTTTTTTTTTTTCAACGCTTGAAGTTACGTCTCTTTTTCGGGGGGGCTATTGCACGCGTTGCAAAAATCGGTAACCAAGATGCCGATGTATCGTCAAATCTCTAGAAAAAATCCAACATAGAACCGGAGTTTTGCAGATAAACGACTACGAACGAGCGAGCGTATTACTCATTGTGTGTACGTACATGTGTGCGCACGCGAGATCAAGACCTTCGTAAATTTCCTAAAGAAAGTTTAGAGTAAACATGCACCGCTGAATCAGCTCGACGTGGAACATATCGCGCCGATTCCGCATAATGTGCTTATACAAATTTATTCATCGATTCCAATAGCTCGCGTCCCTCTCTTTCTCAGTCAAACGGGAGGGGGCGAGAAATCTCTCTCTCTCTCTGTTGCCGAAAAATCCAACGATCGGTGGTACAAATTAGCCGCTCTAAAATTATTACTATATGGGTCGTGACTCGTTTGAGAGCGCCCATCTCTAGCGAAAGAAAAAAAAAAGAAACGACCCGCCTCGCGAGATAACATCGATCGTAACGAGCTGCATCGAAGGAGATGATAAAACGCCCATAAACGGCACTGCAGCTGTGTCGAGGGGTGAGGGGGGGAAAGAAAAAAAAAAGGAAAATTATCGATCTTCTTCGAACATAAAAATGTGAAAGACACGCGCGCCCGGTATGGGGACAGAAACCGAGAAAAATCACAGCGCTACAATATAAAACATGGTACACATGTATATACGTCTATATTGTAAAGACTAAATCAATAAGGCGCTGATGCGGGGGGCGGAAGAGGAGAGACAACGGGGAATCAAGCGTTATCTGGACACTATGGTGCATTGCACAAGTGTTTACCTGTAAATGGCTTTTCTGTCCTGATACACAAGTACATCGGAACCAACTATGCTTGGGGCCAATGAATCGAACAAAAAAAAAGTTGCAACATCGAAAAGGGCCATTTATTGTGATCGGTATATCACATAATATGTGGTTACATCTCGAAAATAAACGCGCAAAAATGTAAGTAGGTACAGAAGAAAAATAACGCATGTGTTAAATCGAAGGGAGAGAAAGCTTGAGGAGATTATAGTTGCCGGGTCAACGGTCATCGGCGCGATCCGCTTATCACCCGTATGCGGGTATACATAGCACATACAGCTGATTCGCTCTCTCTCTCTCTCGATGAATGACCATATAGAAGCAGCAGTGGTAACTCTCCCTCCTTCCATGCGCCTTTTTCCTCCTGGTGCCCTCTCTCTCATCATCGTGATTCCTCCGCATGCCTTCCTTTATTTCATTGAAATTACTCCATCCCTCTTCCTTTTCCGTACGTGATGGCTGTACGAAAAATGGTATTATTGCTTTGCTTTCGAAAATCTCTCGCGAGGGAAAAGAACAATCTAGCTCTGGAGCCAAAATTTCTCGAAAGGAAGACAAAAAAAGGCCAATAGCGTGGTTTCTTGCAGTTGATTTTATTTTCCTTTTTCCAAAAAATTTTGTACCACCTGCAGGACCTTGCAAAAATCGGAAAAGCTCCGCAGCCTGAAAAACAAATAATAAAGCGACTTTGAAATATTAAAATGGTTAAAGTGCTCGTAGGAAGCTCGCTAAAACGGAATATTAATTCGTCGAAAGGTATACTTTGTTTATCACCAATAATGCAATAGTTATTTAATTTTTTATAATCGTACAATGTGAGGAAAAAAGCTGTGAAAAATTAAAATTGATTGAAAATTAGTAGAGTGACTCGCCGTTGAATGCATTTTTTTTTTTTTTTATCCGTTGGAAATGTATACAACATTACCAATTTTTTCCTACTACTAGTTCATACTAAAATTGTTAACTAATACGTATCAAAATTTAATTTAAAAATTTTGTTTCCTACTATTAGTTAACACTATTAACTACTAGTTATTAGTTACTCCTAAAATTATTATTAACTAATAGAAAAAATTTTTAATCTTGCATACTTCCGAGCGATAAAAAAAATGCATTCAACGGTAAATCAATGATTATAAAACATTGAATAACTATTGAACTTGTCCAGCGTTATGTTATTATATTGATTCAAGATAATGATAAATGTTTGCAAGACTATAATCGACGATCGATGAAATACAATGTATCTAATGAACAAAAGCTAGTTTTTTCTAGATGCACAGCTTCCGTGAGTCGCTCTCGGAATAACTATGTTGTTACCACTTCCAAGTTTGAGGAAGAAAAAAAAAGAAAAAGATTCCTCGAGGTGGCTTTTTTGGCCCGAGAAATCGAGTTGGCCAAACTACCTCTTTTTCTTGCCGGATGCTGGCGGCGTGTGTTTCTGCGGCGGTTCGAGTTCGGAGAGCATTACATTGATATTAATCGTATTAAGTAGTAGTAGATTTCCCATTGATTTGCATACGCTACGTAAATTTCAGGCCCAACGCCAAAAAGTTTTTCACTGCCTGTTAACGGGAAAAGTAAATGAGAAATCGCACTGTTTTTCTCGTTGCAAGCTAAGTACATATCCCTCCGCACGTGATATATATATATATATAATATATACCCAAATATCATCGTAAATTACAAGTAAATCAAAAGCGATAGCGATTTCCTTGCACAATGAAAGCATTAACGTTTCAACTTATCTTCCACACACTTTATAAATAAAGTATTGCGAGTACGCATGTATATAAGTATGTATACCTACAATGTTACAGTGCCAGCTATCGTGGAGGGTTTATTATTTTTGTTCAGATTACGGCATCGTCGTTTTTTTTCCCCCCCTTTCCGTCATTGATTTCAACAGTTTCGCGCACGTGATCTATTTAGTAATTTGCGCATTAAAATTCTTCGTTTATTTTATTAGATTATCGTACCTTTGACCTTTGTCCCTTTTTTCTTTCTCTTCGAACGTGTTTTAAAATGTCTCTCTTATCGCCTGGGGAGGGTGATAAAACGAGAGAAAAATAGATAAAAGTTTCTAAACACACGGATCGGCAAGTAAATAAAGCAACATTTTCAAAATAGATTTACCATTTTTTTTCTTCTTCTTCTTCTTCTGTTCGCCCGCAGTGATAAAGCAAATGGTTTCGAACAAAATTTTTTTTCACGACTATAAATTAATAACCACATCTTCATTGAAGCTGTGGAGCGTGGAAAATTTTGTCGATCGGATCGGCAATTTTTCAATAGTTCTCTATACTGGATTAATGATGAATGATTATAGCGATCAGAAAAGTTTTCATAATTTGATCTGCAAAGTTAGGTGTAAGGAAAATTTTTTTAATCAAATTTATTTTTTCGTAGTGACTTGGTTGCGTATTTTATAACTTATGGAAATATTTTTAACTATAAAATCGTTGTGATCTGAAAAACGGCTGTCTCAACTTATCCGAACTTATATAAACGTTAGAGGAAGTAAAACTTGGAGATAAGTTGGTTTTTTTTTTTTTTCAATATATGATTAAAATGATAATTACTTTGATTAAAATTCTATTTTTAAGGAAACAACTTTTTATAATTTATTTTTCGATAAATCCTTTTGTGTTAAAGTTTAATATTCGTTTTTTTATCAAAAACATCCAAGTCGCAGGTAGAATTCGACTCTTTATACCCATTGAAAATATTCTACGGTTCCACTACCATGGAAAAGAGGTCAAATATTTATTCAACTCGAAAGGGGCAATGAAATTTAAGCCGTTTATCAATGTGAAACAAGCGAGAGCAAAAATTGATCAGCTAGTATTAAAAAAACAGTCTAATAAAATAAGAAAAAATGAGACGACAGAACCAAGAAAAATATTTGCATTTTAATATGTCATTTCAAAAATTCTAGAACACATTTGTATAAAATTTTTGGCCCCCTTTTCATTTCTTCTTCTTTTACCTCTATGTATACATACTCTTTTGAAAAACGAAAAGATGTGCATAGAATCCCTATAGCTTTTCTTATCTCCAAGTTTGCAGCTGCAAGCCCATGTACATATATACCAAGCAGAAATCTCGACTGAATAGATTTCTACAGTTTCATTATGCATATACGCAACATACGTAGATGACGTTTTTGAAAGCCAAATAGAGACATAAAATTTGTCTAGTGCAAAGTTTTTCATAATTTTTCAAAATTTTTCTGAGTATCGTTGTTTTCTTACCAGTTTGAAAACGAGGATAACATCAATAGCTCAGAATAAAGCTAATACGCTGTGGATGCAATTTTGTCTTAATCTTGATCAGTGATCATATGCGTGATTTACTTTTTCACTTTTCTCTTCCAGGAAAGCAAGTATATATTGCAGCAATTTTTGTACAAAACTTGAGTCACTGTTACGTTATCAACGGGTTATTTTGGCTTTTTTTCCTCTGTATTATCACCAGTTGGTTATAAATCGTTGCTATAGCTTTGATTAGCTTACAAATACGCATCACAAAATTTATTATGTATATATCACGCCAGTTGAATAATCTATTTTATATTGTCAACTACAACGTAAATGGAATATGGGATTTGATGGAATGGGATTGAATACAATTTTTTTATACACTTTAACAGTTTGTTTTAGTAAACGCTTTTTTTTTTAATGACTTTAATTAAATTCTAACATAATGAAATATTTTATGTTGGTCATTAAGTTGTGTAAATAGAATTTTTAGAAAAACTTTGACGTAATTACGGCAAAGAGCACAGAAACATTAGCAGTCTTTTACAGAGCTTAATAAATAATCTTTATACAAAAGTGCTGTGTCATTTTTCTTCAACTAACAGATAACACATCATTCTGATTTTTTTTTTTTTTTTTTTTTTTTTTTTTTTTTTTTTTTTTTCAACGCTTGAAGTTACGTCTCTTTTTCGGGGGGGCTATTGCACGCGTTGCAAAAATCGGTAACCAAGATGCCGATGTATCGTCAAATCTCTAGAAAAAATCCAACATAGAACCGGAGTTTTGCNATGTGAATCATCATTCTGATTTTTTTTTTTTTTTTTTTTTCTTAATTATCTTTAAAAGTAAAAAGAATGGTGTGATAGCAACGTAGTGAGTGAACATTGTGTGATATTCAATATTACAGGGTGACTCGAATAAATGTCGACGAGATTGATCCCCATTCTCATGAAAGAAAGCAACCCCGAATTGGTGCAATTGACTTCTGTTATTATTAGGACATTGAAGCGTCATAAGTCTGGAAATCTGCAAGGAAAAATGAAAAATTAGTCAAGCGAGTCATCAATGCCTACACCAAGGTATTAACTCAATGTATTTTTTATTAAATCTTTGATTAACGTGTTTTATTTTGGTTAATATTATAAGGGCATTGTAAGGGTCTGTTAAGCGTTTAGTCCAAATCATTTTAATATTCATTTTAGTTTGAAGGATCCAATTTTTAAATACCAATTAGAAACAAACAAATTGCTCAGCTTCCCATTACTTATTTCGTTAAATTGTCAACACCGTAGTTATGTAAAAAATTTGTAATCAAAATGTTATTAATTTGTCTAAAGGTACAAAAAAGCTATGAGTACAAACATAAAAAAAAGCATTAGATGTTAATTCATAAAAGCTATCGAAATTCCCTGGAATCTTATCTTCAAACAGACGACACAGTATGTAGGACCATCAGCATATCCAAATATGCTCCATAACATCTGAAATTTATTTTTACAAAACTAAATTTTAAAAACGAATTTTGCGAAATTTTCTAAAACATGGTTGATTAAATAAGGTCACTCTTGAAAATGCCCATGACTAGTTATAGAAAAAAAAATTTTTTTAATCACTTATAAATTTAAAAGTCACGTGGATATATTTATTTTTTGAACAATGTAATTTAGAATGAAATTTAGCCTACCTCATGGGATCTTCGTAGTAATCTGATGGTACTTGAAACAACTCTGGATCAATGTCGTTTTTAAAAGCAAATTCTTGAAATGTGATCTTTGCCGTGACAGTTGGGAGAATGGGAATATCAATTTTTACAGGAAAACCTGGTGGCAATTTCATGAGTACAAACTCTCGCAGTTTGTTGAAGTGTTTGAATGGTGCAACCACTTCCAAAACGTTGAGCAACATTTCGACAGTTAAAGGAAAGTCAGGACTCATTGCAACAACAGCTTTGAATGATTTGCTACTTTCTTTATATACTATGTTCCTACCCAACAGTGGACATTGACCAGGTAGAGCAGAAATGTAATCCTCCCAAGTTATGTTAGACACAGGTGGTGGATTCAATGAGGCCCTTCTTATAGTAGGCTAAAAATCGTTGCATATACAATCAGTTCACCCATAAGTTGTAAAACCCGCTGTAAAACACTCATGAAAAAATGATTTTCTCACCTCTCCATTTTGAAAACTTTGAGACGAACCTTTAGTCAAAGATTCCATTATCGCTTTATTCTTTTGTAGATCTTCTTCACTCAAATGCTCTCTCCTTTTCCTACTTTCTAGTACTATGCCATTGATTTGATAGAAATCAGCATTAAATGGTCCAACCATTTCCTTGGGAAAAATCAAATGATTTATTTTGATATTGGTCGTTAAATACCTACAGCTATAATTATATTAGACACATACTTTTTTGTCCTCCTTGAAGATCCATCCAGTTTGTGCTCTAGAGAACGTTATACCTTTGGTTGACATTTGGGCAGCCATTATATCACTAGACATCAAAATATCCACTTCATCCTCGATTTCGAGTTCAGTTTCCTAAATGACAAATGAGTTAATAATATAAGACAAGTGGTAACAAAAAGTAAGTAACTGATAATAACCTCGTATCTCACTCTTTGATAAAGCTTAGCTTTATTATCCAAAACCGTTAAAGATTTACTAGGTTTTTGATCTCCATTAAAAATAAATGATATATCACCCCTTTCCCATCTCATATCATTAAAATCCACCAAAGTTGTGTCCATTCTGATGGAGGCTCCACTCTTGTGAATTCTACAAATATCAGATGGAAGTATTCTTGAAACTAGAGGCACTGTAGGTAATATAAAAATATGTTTAGTATGTACTTTATTGAAGCCTTAATAAATAAATACTACGAAAAAATGAAACTTACCCCAACTTTGAAAATCCCATTTCAATTCCATGTAAAAATCACCCATTTGTCGTAAAGCTGCTACAAGATTTGGTCTCCTCTCCTCCATTTGTTCTCTTGCTTGTTGTTTGAGTTTCCTAACAAGAGATGATACTAAAAAAAAATGGATGTGCAGGAAAT